AAACCAGATATCCGTTTCAAGTCAGGATTTTGAACTTGCCAGAGTTTACCAAATTTTGACAGTGGTTCCTGCGGTTGAACAGCCTCACGACGGCCTTTTGACCATGTTGCCGAGTGCGGGAGGCATGTTGGCCAGAATAACTATTGTAGTGCTGTCTGTCTCGCTTCTTGAACCTGCTCGGATCTACCTCTGCCGAGGTTGATAGTAGCGCTAACCCGTGCTCTTGCGGTAGAAGTGCATCTCGCAGCACGTCCCGGCTTCGAAAGCTCATGGAGCGATTTTAGCACGCAGTATTAAATTCGATATTAGGTGAGGTCATCTAAGGCTGACTCTATCTGGCTATATATATAGGCTCTGTATTTTAGGTGGCCTCTTGTCGACGCTATTCTCAACCTTTTCTCAGTCCTGCCCCATTGCACCCTTCACTCACCATGGTCGACGCTATTCTCAACCTTTTCTCAGTCCTGCCCCATTGCACCCTTCACTCACCATGGTCAACTTATTTACCACCCTTTTGGGCATCTTTAGAAGGCTTGTTAGTCTATCGGTGACCCTTGCTCCTTTCCTCATCTTCGTGATTCGGCTCCACACCCGTGACCTATTCTTTAGCGTGAGTGATCCCTCTCCATCCCTACGCACCGTTCAATCCTAAGTCTGACGGCATCTCTTATAGATCACCAACCTGTTCCTGTCCAGCCGTCGTGCCGGGCGCGTTGTGCCTCCCGGCCACCCAGGGCATCGCGGCGTCTGGCCGAAGTATATCGCTCCCACCATTGGAAGTGAGAGCCGATCCCCTTGTCCAGGGTACGCATCCCCATCTCCGCAGCATCTCCGCCGCTTTACACTCATGATGTACATACTTCATGCAGACTCAACAGCCTTGCCAACCACGGTAAATAATAGCGCAACCTCTTCACAAGTTGTCTTTCACTAACATGCGCGGTTTAGGCATCTTGCCGCGCGATGGCAGACACATCACCTACAAGCAGATGTCGCATGCTATCCAGCACGCATATAACCTTT